GCAACCCTCGGCACGGTGTCACCCGCACCACGCTCAGCCAGTGAGCGCACCTGCCATCCCTATATAGGATCCGAACCTGCGGCCCCAGTGCTACCAGCGCTGCACTCTCCCGAGTGAGCCACGGGGCTGGCCCGATGTTAATATTTCTGAACCTGAAATTATAATGTGGTTATATAGAACACTATCCTTATAAATAAGAGATATATGCTGAAATATTTAGGATTCGAGGTATTCGCAAATCACTCTCACATGGTTCAGCCACAAAGAAAGTGTGTGTGTACATGTTTTTCTATAGATAGAAAGCAAATTTGTCATATATTAATGATTGGTGAATTTTGGTGAAGGTTACATTAGTATTCATTGTATTCTCACAAGTTTTCGATAGATTTAAGCTTTCTTAAGTTCCAAATAAGTAGTAACAAAGTAAATGATCACCTAGCCGTTGTGTTTTGTTTTCTGTTCCTGCTCTTTTTCTTATTACCCTCTTGGGTTAACCACCCTATCTGTAAAGAGGACTCTTAAATCTCCATAAACACATTCAGCATTTATAGGTTACCATCTCTGTATGCAGGTTAAAGGAGGCACTTCTCTCTTTCCTGGTTTCATGCATAACGCCTAATCAAGAACCTTAATTTTGCATCAATTTTGCCCATTCTTTCAGTGAATTCCTATAGGAAATTTGGAAAGCTCGTTTCAGTCAAAATTTCATCTAGCAAATGTTTACTAGGAAACCACTATGTCCCACACTCTCAAATCTGAGTGAGTGCTTGGTAACTTTTGAAATTGTCTTTACAGATGATATAGAGATTTTTTTAATGGTTTCCCAAAAAAGTATGAAATATTCATAAATATCAAACTGTCAGACAGTCCCCTTCATAAGGAAAAAATAAGTGTCACTTAATGTTTCATATGTCTGGGCACTCTTTGCTTGTTCTGATTCTGTGTAATTGCTCTTGTGAATTTGAATATACTGAGGAAGTGATAATGGTGGGGGATGAGGAAACACATTATCAATAGTGTGTCTTGTGTATGTTGATTGTGACCCTGCCTATCCAAGCCATAATTATTTTTTTATTTTAATTGTTTATTATTAGCATATTCATTCTTGCAAATCGTGGTATTC